GGGGGAGGGATGTTAACTATTAAATTGTTCACTATTATGTGACGGGCAATGCGCGTATACTGCAAATATGTACACTCTGAAAATAATAAAAAAGAAAAAGGCACTTACCAGCTTAGGGTTTTCCCGAAGGTGTTGAACAATAGTTCGGCGTAACTCATCATGGGAGATTTTGATTCCTTTAATAAGGTCAAGCTGTTCTGAAAGAGCAAAAAACATGCAGTTTCCCCCTCCTTGATTGTCAGAAATTGCAAAACCTTTTTCCAAGGCAGCCCTCTTCAAAGTCTGCGACAGCTTAGTTTTGCTGGACTCTATGCGTGCTTCCCGTATGATTTGTTGAAGTACAATAAAAAAGGGTAATTCATCTGTAAACGGAAGATGAAAAAAAAATCAACATAAGATACAGGTTATTTCAAGCCAGTTTAATACGAGATGGAGCACTGGTCTGAAGCTCAAAAAAGCAGACAATTTAATTAAAAAATACTGTGGTCTTCAAAGAACTAAACAACCTCACTCTACTGCAAAAATATATTTTGGCTTTGGTTTGATTGATAAAGCAAACAAAGACATTACCTGCCATCGGTCCTGTTGCAGCATCCTTTTCACAGTCATTCTGTGGAACGTCATCTTCTTGGTTTTTCTCAACACCTGTAAAGTTTAAAATTAGCAGTGAATTTAAATGGTTCGGCTTGTAATCAGGAGAGGGAAACAGTTAGTTTACGTCAGTTTACTTGAAGATGCACCCCAATAATCGAAAGTACCCTGGTTCAACAGAAGAAAGTAACCTCACTCCACTGCAAAAATAAATTTTGTCTTTGGTTCAACTGACAAAGCAAACAATGACATTACCTGCTATCGGTTCTGTTGAAGTGTCCTTTTCACAGTCGTTCTGTGAAACGTCATCGTCTTTGGTTTTTCCAAGACCTGTAAAGTTAAAAAAAAGCGATGATTTACAGAAAAAAATGTCACTCTCAAAAAAAAAAAAAAGATTTCAACCTCAGAAGCCCCCCTTTCATTTCTTGTGACAAA